ACACACACACACACACACACACACTGGGCATGTCTGAATAACAAATAGGCATTTTAATGCCATTGCTAGCACATACCATGCTTGGCAACGGAGATCTTGAGGTTCAAAGACCATCATCCACTAAATTTTCTCAGGTACCCGTAGGTCAAACCATCGAGCAAACGCTAAAACGAAATACCAAGTCCAAAGGTGGCATTGTAGGGTTTAGTCTTAAGAGAGGAGCAGTGCAAGGATGGATGCTCACTGCCCACACTCGTGCTGCTATTGCTGATAAGTGACGCGCCATGGCTTGTTTAAACCTCAATGATGAAAGGATTTCCAAAGATGCGTAGAATCTGTATTAAGAGATGAAAGGGATGTGAAACAGGTCATGGTTGTTATTGTCAACTGGAAGAACTCATTCGAACCCTCTGGAAACTTTATTTAGTTTTATTTAGTTATGGGTTTGTGGCAAGTGATGAGTTAAACATTGATCTTTTGGAGGCTAAAGAGAAAGGGCTGCTCTTCAAGCATTTGCTAACGATCGTCTAGTTTCTAATGATAAAGCGGATTTTTTGTGGGCTCATTAGTTCATTAGTTTTTTGAAATATTGGTGATCCTTCAAAGCTTAAAGTTAGCTTCATTTTTGCTATAGCAAGTCATTACTAATTTTGTTATTTGTTTTTGTTCTTTTTACAGTTATGGTGTACATATAAGTATTAACTCTTATTACCTCTGTATGTCACCTCCCGTTATTACTAATATCTTCAATCGAATAAGAACGCTCGAAAATGGACAGGTGAGACCCCTTTATTCCTTTCTTTCTTTCTTTCCTTCCTTCCTTCCTTCCTTCCTTCCTCCCTCCCTCTCTATCTTTTTCTTTCTTTCTTTCTTTCTCTGCTCTTGCGTCAAACGGTTCCTAACTGCTTCAATCTAGTTTGACCTAGTACAAACCGGTTATGTGACGTAGTACTCTAGCTGAGCCCTTAAATACGAGCTCACTCAAGGTTAGTTTAGTTGTTACGTCAGTGAGTTGTACAGTTCAGTCCGCAACCTCAAGAGAGCCAGTCAAGCGAATAAACTCATATCCAGAGAAAGCCGAGTGTCTGGTCTAAAAGAAACCCATGTGTCAGAAAGAGAAGTAATAATCCCTCACTTCCCGTCGTGACACACGCAACTGTGCGTCTCTGTAATTGTATAAAAAGTACGTTTAGTTAACAAGTAACCGGATCTAAATTTGCGCGGCAAGGCGTTCGAATTTATGTTCGGATAGCTCAGTCTAAATCATAAATCAACAAGATTTATTACTTTTATTAGACATTTTTGAGTTACAACGAAACATCAAGCTACTTACCTGTAAATATTCATTAAATGATTGTTATGCGGGATGGGTCTATGTTTGACCGTCTTGCTCATCATCGTTTTGTTTACTTTTTTAGTATCCTTTGAGTTGTGGTGGGTTTAAGATATCTGGAATACGGGATCTCACTACTGGGTATGATAGCACCAAACCAGATAATAAAGCGGTGAGTATGTAAACCCTTCATTTATGTCATAAGCGTTGTTGGACTTGAAATTCCTTTAGGGAAAGGGGAATATCTGGACAGAACATCTTAAAAGTCGAATCCTCGACCCACCACGTAGTTCATAATGCCTTTCTTTGACTTTTCGTAAAGGTTTTACCGACCAGCAAATCAAGTCAAATGATAACATTTTATTTCGAAAACGGTTGCGTGGCAACGTTAAGGACAAGTGGTACCGAACCCAAGATTAAATACTACACAGAAATAACTGGAAGACCCGGAGAAAAGTGAGTTTGACATGAGTTTGTGAGTTTGCACAAAGTCACTCTGCACAAAGTCAGTTTGCACAAAGTCAGTCTGCACAAAGTCAGTCTGCCTTATATGTTAAGCCTTCTTTCCTGTTTCTTTCATCAACGAGAAGAGACTTCTTTAAAGCAGAAAACGCGTACCGTGATAATCAATTGTCTTCCAAATAGAGCAATAAGATTGAATGATAAATATATTTATTTCTGTCTAGAGTCGATATGGAAGCAGCTACTTCAACCCTGCAGAAACTGGTGAACAGCATTGTGATAGAGTTTCTACAACCGGAAGTAAATGATCTCATTGCTAAATCGGATTAAAACTCCTCAGGTGTTAATTATGCCAAGGCCAAATAAAGATTCTAGCCTAGCAACGAATACTGAGATAAAGTATAGAAAGCCCATGCTCTTATTTGCGCTACATCAAAAGCAAAGATAAGTAGCATGTAAAAAGAGAACTTTTTGTATGAGTGGAAAACGACACTGCAAATTCTAAGTCGTTCGAAGTGGAACCGGCGTTCCATATTTTACCGTAGCCATAAATATGTGTTTTGATTGTACAAAGCGCATGAAAACATATCCGGATGTTAAGCCTAAAATTGTTCAAATTTTGTGAAAGAAGCACCAAATTTGTTTTATGATATCCTTTTGGTATAACTAAAAAAATAAAAGCAAGACCCAAGCAAGACCTCCCTTTGTTTCATATAAATAAGTCATTTGCGCCTTTTTACCACCACTACCAAAATGCTTGGCGAATTTCTTACTTATTCAAATTTGTATTCCCTCATGAGAATAGAAAAACAAGTGTGCCAGGGAGTATGGTAGTGGTAGTAAATGATACTATAATGCAAGTGTTCTGTTGAGCATCTTTTTTACCCCTATCTTCACTGGTCCCACGAGTGCGACGAATATATAAGAAACCTATTATTAGCATACCTAATCACTTGTCTTCGAACCTGCTAGCGGCCGGACGTGTCTCTTCTGCTTCTCTGCAAAAGGCTTTAGGCTTGAATTCGGAAACTGTAGATAGGAAATACTCTTAACTCTCTTAACTCTGTATCTCCAAAAAATCCATATTTCGGACGCTAGTCCTTCGTCGGAGCAAAAGAGAAAAAGGTGGTAGGAGGGAGTAACATTGGCAAGGCATCATACCAAGACTTGTCATGCGATAAACTTGGAATCCAGTGAATGCCTTTCTTTTTGCAACAAATAAGCAGCAACGACTTGTACTGGAGAGTTGGTTTACAAAGTTTGAGCATCATCCACTGAATGTGGCTAAATGAAATTTAGGCAAAGTTAGACTCGATCCGTGTAGCAGCGAATAGTCTACGATAGCGGCTGTTTCCATTTGTTGTCTGCCCGCTGGCCACCTATATACGCTAAACGCACGCTCTCATAATCACTCGCTATTCTGGTGATTACGCCTAGTACATGCTTTTGTGACCTCTAAATTAGACTATTGCAATAGCGTCTTGCATGGTTTACCTACAAAGCAATTAAATAAGTTGCAGCGCTTGCAAAATTCAGCTGCCAGACTAATAACTAAAACTAAGCGCAGAGAACATATAACTCCTGTTTTACGCCAATTGCATTGG